CTGGTAACGAGCAGAAGTCTTCTTTGTACAGGGATGTGCAGCACACTAAAGTAGTGTAGTTGTATTGCTATAATATTTTTACTTTACTAGAAACTTAGTGTAGCACCAGTAAAGAAATTTTTGACGAAAGTTATTTGTTTTCATATTATATTACACTGGGGAGTATTAGCTGGTTTGCAACTTTTGCACCTGTCATATAATATAGTGTACGTTTTGGTGTCACTGAAAATTTTTCTTAGGAAGTATCAAATGTCTCTAGATCAAATAAAAAAAACTTGAAATGTATTTTAATACCAATCTATATGGCTGTATATATATATATATATATTACTCAATCACTGTATATCTATCACAGGGAAGAGAAGTATCTATCTACATATAAGTAACATGCTTTACACTAAAGCTCAAAAATTAAATCGCATAATATATTAAAAACTTGTTTTTTGAAATATATCTATGTTCTTGAAATAATTATTCACAAGACTGCTGAATGTAGCTATAAAATGCGTGTGTATTTTAGGTGCCCATCGTATAGAGAAAAGGAGAGTGGAAAGTACTCTGTACATGTAAACAAACCATGTGATGAAAAAAAAAAGATAATTTTAGAAGAATCTAAAGAATGACAAATAAACATTATTATAATAAAACATTACAGAAGAAGAAATTAACTGATTTTAATAGTGTATGCTACATGTATATATAATTTTTGTTAGGCATAAACAATTTTCTACAGAGTAGTTTGAAAATTAGGTCAACAGGTTTTGTCACACACACCTTAATTTGAATGTATACATCTGGAGTCCAATTTCTTGCAGTGAACAAAATCCAGATGGATGAGGTATAGCTTTGTAGTAAGCAAACAACAAGAACAAATTGATTGTACACATGATTAATGCACATTTCTGCAGACACTATACTTGCCTTGTGTCAGTTTTATACACCAGTGTATTAAAAGATAATTGAAATACAGTTGTAAAATATTTTTATTTGCACTAATGCTCTAAAATTAAATCACATAATAAATGAATAACTTGTTTCTTAAATACTTATATGACATATTTTAAGCTAATATTTAAACTCACTAGTTCTAGAATATAAGTTTTATAAGTCAGATAATTATTACATTTGCATAAGTATGAGATTACTGTATATGTTTAGTGTAATTTGAGTCTTTCTTTAAAAATAGGATAAGATATATTATGAAGCTAAATGTTTCCATCACTATTAAATCTTGTTATTCATCTGTATAATAAGAGGTTGACTTATAATAATAACTTAGAAGTAAAAAGTAGTTAAGTTTCCACAAAAAATAATCCAGCTCTGAAGTGGATGGAAAGTTGTGATACCACTTATTAACTTTATTGGATGCATATATTTATATTTGTTTTTTATGAATTTGAGGTGTAATAATGCAATGTTTTTGCTTTCTCTACTTGTACAAGTTTAAATATTGGGGGAGTTAGCCCATAACAAATGGTGGAACATGGCTCATTATCATGCACGTTAATAGTAAAAATGTTTCAGACTTGCGTTGAATTAGATTATGATATGTTAATTTTGAAATCACTCAAATACGAAATCGTATTTCTAATTACAGAATTGAGGAAAAACAAAGACAATTGTTTGTTTCACAAATACTTCATTTAATAATAACCATAGTAAAGGCACATCAGGTACAGAATGAAATGGTTAATAAACAGGTTTATGTATGTTTAACCGAAGAACCAGAAATAACCTTGACATTCCCTTTTAGACAATTGAGAAAAAGCTTGAGTTGGTTTGGTTGTTTAGAACTTTTTCTGGATTTGTTTTTAGACCTCTATTTATTTCTGGTATTTCCAGGCTATCTAGTTTTTTTACATTTTTCTCATATATATATATATATATATATATATATAAATTTATATATTCTGAATCAAATTGGTGTTTAGTTTCAATAAGGTGGGATGCAAAGGTTGAATTATTTTTCCTTAATTTGAATTTTCTAGAATGTTCTTTAATTCCTGTTTCTATGGGATGTCCTGTTTGACCTGTTTTGTGAACTTAGAAGAGTTCAAAATTATAAAGTTGACATTTGAAGCCTGTCCAGAGACAACTCCTATCATCAACATGTCTGTACCAATATTTGACATGTTTTTTATATTATTGTCATCACTAGATATGCATGTAATGTGTATTCAACTACATATGTATATAGTTTTCAAATTTTGCCTTTGATAAATTGGTAGTTATAAGTGAAAAAAAAAAGACTTTATAAACAACTGTTGTTTTTTATTACACTCTATGAATAGATCTTGTCATGTGTCTAATTTGAGCATCACTGTTAACAGTGGTAGGCATTGTTATAAGATAAAGTATCCTATTTGTATAATTAATATTAACCTTTGATCAGAGCAAACTATGTACTTGAGCAAAACTACAAGCAATCATTACAACTAATTAAATATACATTTCTTATATTTCTACCTTTAAACATTACAATTCATAGTTTCATTAGTTGGGTACCCTTGCTATTAACAATATTTTATGGCCATAGTTTTCTTGTTTTGCATACGTGTACACAAGTTGCTCGTGTACTGCACCTTGATGTTTATTAACGTTTCATCCAGCTGCAAACGCTTGAGAAATTGATAACTGCACGTGACTTCTTTCTTAAGCTTGGAAACTTGTGCATATGTGTGTATATTGTACTTGTATATCTTTTGTGTGCATGTATAAAACACATTATATTGAAAAATAAATGCTCTGTTAGAAGGGTCTGACTCAAAACAGGTATGTTTCCTACACATTCTTTTGCTTGAGCAATCTGCCAGAGAATTTTCATTTTAAAAAGTTATGAGAAATTAAGTTGCAGCTGTGATAAAATGAAACTTAGCCAGATAAAGGAATAAAGTGTTCATTGTTTTACTATTAGGACGTTCAAATTCCAACTACGCACGTACAACAGAGACAGTTTCACAACACACCCAAGAACACGTAATGGGTAATGAGAGTTCAGCACCGTATGAAATGCCTCATTTTCCTATTGAAGTATACGAATGTAAGAAAGCTATACAGAAGCAACTATCAACAAGGTAAGAATTTTGCTGTAACGTAATAATATCAAATATATAAAAGGAAAAAAATATTGATTGTAAATATCTGATTGAAAACAAAGTGTGTGTGTGTGTGTGTGTAAGATTGTTTAAATTTTAGTTTACACCTCTTTAGCCAGAAAGAAAACTTAAAAGGAACATACTTGTGATAGTAGTCTCATAAATTGATTTCTGGAGAGAATACTAAACATGAATAGTCTATAATTCTATTTAAAATTGTAATTTGTTCTGTCTTCCTTCATAAGATTAAAACATTTATTCATGTGGAGAGAATACTAAACATGAATAGTCCATACTTCTATTTAAAATTGTAATTTGTTCTGTCTTCCTTCATAAGATTAAAACATTTATTCATGTGGAGAGACTACTAAACATGAATAGTCCATACTTCTATTTAAAATTGTAAATTGTTCTGTCTTCCTTTATAAAATTAAAACATTTATTCATGTGGAGAGACTACTAAACATGAATAGTCCATAATTCTATTTAAAATTGTAATTTGTTTTCCTTTAATTTTATGAAGGAAGACAGAACATATTACAATTTTAAATAGAATTATGGACTATTCATGTTTAGTAGTCTCTCCACATGAATAAATGTTTTAATTTTGTGAATGAAGACAGAACAAATTACAATTTTAAATAGAAGTATAGACTATTCATGTTTAGTAGTCTCTTCACATGAATAAATGTTTTAATCTTATGAAGGAAGACAGAACAAATTACAATTTTAAATAGAAGTATAGACTATTCATGTTTAGTAGTCTCTTCAC